TTGAAGTTCTGATTTGACCACTCTTAGTTGTTTACAACAGACTTTAACAACAGATTTCAAAAAAAGCATCTCTGTCTTTATGAAATGAAATTTATGTTCAGTGCTTTATGCTTTGTATGTCATGGGCTTCTACACCAAAGCTTTTGCAGTCAGATCGCTCTTGGAGAGAAGTTTTCCATCAGTATATGTATCAAAGATTTAAAGCACTGTATTGGTTTAGTTGTAAGCAAAGGGCATGAAATCAAGCATCGTGATTTAGAAGTAAGCAGGAGATAGGTGCTTTCTTTTTCTCTTTTTGTATTTGTGTCATATTGATGCTTCTGGTCACTGTAAGCACTGCTGGAGCTTGGTGTTCTGCAGCAGGGAGGAAGAATCAATTCCTCTCTTACCCAAAATCAGGAAGATCCAGTTTTGGCATTGTGAGAATCTCTGGTGTTCTGGCAGCAATTATTGTTTCGTTTGAATGCAGATCCCTGAGAAATGTTAAACTCAATGGTAACCATTGCAAAGGAAATAAGCAGCAGCATCCACGTGCAAACCAGGATCTGCTTGAATCTCTGGCAGTAGTGCCTCCTGTGGGGCAGGTGCTACGTTCTTAAGGCGATGAGGGTTTGTGGCGCTTCTAATTCTTGTTCACTTTGCACACTGTAATTCCTGGCTGCAGATGTCACCAAACGGTTGTGCCGTGGATGGTAGTGGTGGCAGAGCGCTTGAAGCACAGAAACCAAGAACTAATTAAAAAGAAACAGCAGATGGCTGATGATGCTCTGTCTCCTCCTTCCTAAGTCAGCACTTGGGCTGGAGGAGCCCCTGAGACTGGCTCCTCTTCCAACAGCTAGTGAACTGGAGTGTGTCTTGCCAAACAAACTTCAACTGAAAAATAATAATTTATTAAGAAGGTAATTTATTTGCTGTGGCAGCTGGAGCAAGATGCTTGAAACAGACACCCCTGTTGGAGCTGTCAGAGGATTGCCCTTGGGAACAGCTGCACAAATGGAGGTTGCTAATGAGAAAACAGAGTGCAATCACAACTTTCTACTTGTATCCCCAAGGGGCGGGTTCTGCATAAAGGAACATTGTGTGAATAAAGATTTTAATAAAGCAGCGCTGATGGATTGTTTAAGTCTCTCTCCCAGCCGGCCCCCCTCCCCTCATTCCAGCATGTACTGAGTTGAATGTTTGAACTGTTTTGCTGCTGGTGTTTCATGGTTATTCCTTCACTGATATTTATCAGTGGTGTTTATTCCAGAAGTGTATTTTCAAGAGTGGGGCCATATGTGCAGCTTGGTTGGAAGAGCTGGTAAGGGAAGGTTGTGCTTAAGAAGAGTGTTCCAAAGCGATGCTAAACAAACCGTACCTAGGCTTAACTGGTCTTTGGGAAGAAAATGGGTATTGTTTTTTTAGCTTTAGAAAACATGTTCCAGAGCCCTGCTTGTGCCAAGCATCCAGGCTGATGTCTTGGTTGTGTCCCACTAGGCTGGATTTGTTGTACAGAGCAAGGAGTGTGTATTCATTTGGCAACAGATGCATATAGAATTGGCATGCGTTTGTGGTTGGCTTCCCTGAGCTCTTATTGAAGCCCTGTTATGAGACGGGGCAAATAAACAGCTATCAAAGATCTGTTCCCACAGAGCACAGGGACTGACCTAGCTGGTTCAGAGCTTGTTTTTGTAACAATAAAACAGTTATGAGCATTTCAGAGGTAGGAGGGGATGCTCACAGCTCTCAGTGTCTGGCATCTGGAAGCAAAGGAAACCTCTGGGAGCTGCTGTGTATTTGTGACATCTGCATGAGCTGTGCTGGCCCGTGGCTTTGGGCACAGGAGTGCCCTGAAATGGCCAAAGCACTGTGCTTGTGGAAATGCAGCACTGGTCTCTGACCTGCCCTGGAGCATCAGCAACATTGCCATGCTAAGCCACCAGAAGCTCCTACTTTGTCTTGAATTGCATTTTCTCAGTTGAAAGCTTGGAATTCAGCATTGCTGATTTCTGTTAGAACTGGTTTGGGATTTCATTGTTGTTGTTGGGAGCAGTCCTGGGGTTTTCATAGCTCCCAGCATTGCGTGGTGACAGTTTTTCATATCTCCTATTTCTATCTGTGAGATGTCAGAATGGGACATGTGCCATGAATGGGACACAGTTCTTTGTATACAAGCAGGTCAATAACTGGTAAACATTGCAGATGCTTTTAAGTTTTGAAAGGCTGAAATAGTTCATCTTGAGAGTTTTTATGACAGCATTGTTGTACTACTCCCGTATTGCTGTGGTGCAGTTGGGCTTAGCAGTGGTGGAAGGTTTTAAAGTGTTTCTGATTATATGAGCACAATTTTGCAGAAGAATACACAAAGAAAACTTTGAGCCAGAAAATGGTTTTGAAAACTAGCACTTTTCAAGTTCTTTCCCTGTACATTTCTAAAATGTAGAAATGGGGGAAAAAAGTAGGTTCGTTCTTCACATCTCCCATGTGTGGTAGTTTGCTGTTTCTCCTTTGTAGTGTCAATATTTTTAGGAGGCTGGGGACAGGACTTTGTAGGAACAAACAGATTAAGGGGGACAGGGATCTCCTTTACTCCAGATCTTCCTTTTACTTACTGATTCAAACCACAGAAGGATGGATGCTCAGCATTTCCCCATCCAGCAGATACAGCTGTAGGATAAATTCCTGATGGCAAGCTTTCCTCTGAGTGCTTGCACCGAGTTGCCAGGAGTGCTGAATAAGGCAGATGTAACTACTTGTTTTGCAGTGCTGTTCTTCCATTCTCTTTACGTGTTCTGCAGTGTAAGGCCCAGCTTGACTCGACATCATGGATTTTTAATCAGATGGATGTCACTCACCAGGAGTGCTGTGGAATAACAGCGAGGTGAAGTCACACATCCCAGTGTTATGCTGGGACTGGGCAAACCCCAGCAGCTGTCTTCCTGCTGTGAGAGCAGCTGGAGGCTGCTACAGCAAACCCCCAAGACTCAGCAGAGGGAGGAAAAAAGCAATGAAGTCCCAGCCAGCTGCACTGGGGCACTGAGTGCTGTGCTTCCCAGGCCAGGTACGAGCCATTTATCCAGCCTTCTGCACGCTCCCATCTAGTCCTTGGGCATCGCTTCCTGCCTGAGGCCCTGCAGAGGGAACTGAATTATTCAGGAAGGGTGGATTTTTGTTTTGTTTCTTTTCCTCATGTTACTTCATCTTATTTTGCTTCAGTGCCTTTTGAACCTCAGAACCTGGTCAGACAGGGTGCGTGTATTTGGTAGATTACTGAACAGTGACTCTTTTCCCCTCTAGCTCTTGCAGTGTGCCACGCTTAAGTGAAGGTGACACGCCAGGAGCTGTGCTGTAGCACTGTGGGGCTGGTGTTGCTGTGGGACATAGCTTTCCTATTCTATTTTTCAAACCCTTTTTTGGGAACATGGGAGCATCTATTTCTCTTGGAAGCCTGTCTCTTCTGATAGGCTCTCCTTAGCTGATGGCACTGTGGCTACAGTGCTTTTAATTTTGCTTATTTTTTTTTTTTTTAATGTGCACTGATGTTAGTTCTGTTTTAGTTACAGCATCTAGTGTTAAGGTTTTAACCTCACAAATAATTTTTTAAGCTGGAGCAATTACATTAATCAACACAGAATCCTTCTGATGCAGATTTGCAGTATTTATAACCACCTGTAGATGGAGATGTGCTCCATGCCACGCCGTGCTGGCGCTGGAATCCTCCCCATCACCTGGATGAGTGAATTACATTTCAGGATCCACTTCATTTTCCTGAGCACTCAAGATGAACTTGACATTCGTCCATATCAGAAGCAGCACGTCTCGGCCTTGTCTTGGTTAGGGTAAGTTGTGGGTGTCCTGATGCTCACCAACTCATGTAGTTGTTAGTTCTTTACAGTAAACCAGCAGTGGGTCCAGCATGAGGTAGCAAGTTACAGGTGGCTTATCCACTTCTCATCTCCCCTGCACAGCTGAGTTTGTGCACATGGCATGACAGCACTGACTGCTCCTCTTTTAGAGGTCAGAAGTGTGCCCTTCCTCTATTATGTCCTCCCAAAACCAAACGCAGGCTTTGCTCGGGGTCCCAGAGTCTCCTGCTTTAGTGAGAGCAGCCAGCCCTAAGGCCTGGCAGCCCGCAGCTGCCCTGTGCAGCTCATTGCTTTTGCAGCTCACTGCAGAAAACTGGTTGTTGGTGGTAATGAGTTATACTGCTGTTCTCTGATGTGATTTCGTGGTGGTTGTGTGCTGATCTGAACTTCGTTCCCAGCTGCTCGCGTGGAACCCACCCCAGCTGCTGCCGTTTGCATGCACTGGTGTGCAAAGATGCACTGATGGAAGAATTACTAAGTGGAACCTCAGTATAGATACACACACAGCAAACCCATCCCAGAGCCAGCCACCAAAGTCCTTCCTCCCAGAGCCTCGATCTGCAGGCTGAACCCCAGCAGATGTCCCCAGGAGCACCTCGCAGCTGTTCTGAGTCCGTTCGTGTCCCCTCGTCATTTCTGTGCCCCTTGGAAATGACGCCGCTGAGCAACGCGGCCAGCTGAGTGCTGGGAACGGCGAGCCCGGAGGCGGGCAGGGCGCTTCCCGAAGCCCCACCTCGTGTCTCTGGCATCACATGAGCATTTGGAGTTGCGTGTTTCATCTGCAGCCACGTTTTCCTGCTAAACTCGCACCCGAGCACGCCGCAGGGAAAATCCAATCCCCGCAAACAAAACCGGCCCGTGTGAGCGCTCAGCGGCAGCTGCGCGGTGCTGCCCGGCTCTGGGCGCCCTTCCCCGCGGCGTCCCTGCAGCCGCGCGCACAGCGGCCATCCGCGGGGCCGGGTTTTGCTGCGTGCTGCTGGAGGAGGAGCCGTGCCCGGCCCAGCGGGGCAGGTCGTCCCGCTTGGGCTCAGCTGGTCGTGTCCCCGGCCCGCGTATTTCACGGCTGCAGGAAGTGAGCTCACAGCTCCGGCGCTCCGAAGGCAGGACGGGAGCCCGCGGGCACCCAGCCCGGCCGCGCAAGAGGTCCGCGCGGCTATGGGCCGGGGCACGCTGCTGTCTTGCCTGGGGCCGGCCTGCTGCTTGCTGCTGCTGCTGCTGGGGGACAACGGGGGGCTGGGGAGCAGTGGGAAGCAGCGGGGGCTGCTGGAGGAGCGCCAGAGCGCTGTGACGGAGGCGGCACCGTGGGGCAGAGCGAGGTATGAGGCGGTGAAGAAGCAGCTGGGAACCGTGGGAGCTCTCTCCAAGCAGTACTGGCAGTACCTGGCTTGCAAGGTGTGGCAGGAGGGCTGCGGGAAGGAGGAAAGAACCAGCCCCGGCCCAGGTAAGCTCCTAATTGTCTTGTGCCTGGGGAGCAGTGGTGGGGTCTGCACCCCCCAGCACCCACGAGCACTGTGGGAAGGGACTCCCCATTGCTCAGCATGCGTTGTGCTGGGGAGGGAAGTCTGCTCATGCTCACCCAGGCTCTGTCTCCGGTGCACCTGTCTGCCATGGAGCCAGCTGCAGCTCGTTATCATTCTCCCCATCTGCTTCCTTGCACCTCGGCAGGGTGGCAGTTAACTTGGGAACACCTGGGTGCCTGTGCACAGTGCGAGAATGAGGCTTGTCTCTGCTCTGACATTTGCAGGCTGGAGCTTGCCTCTGGTGGGCCAGGATTACCTGGAGATCCTCTCTGCTTGGTACTGCAGTTTTGGCAAGTGCTGCAAGACAGGAGACTGCCAGATCATCAACAACATCACGGGTGGGTGCTGCTGTTTCCTTTGTTGTTGTCATTTTAAAAAGCCCATTTTAGCAAGTGATGCATGTAAAAGGCATTTCTGGGGGGAGGAGGGACTGAGCCAAGTCCTGCTTCTTGTCACTCATTTGCAGTCCTTGGACTGCAAGAAAGCATGCTCTGTGCAGTGCAGTGCAGTGGTTTGCACCAGCCCTGCCTTCATCTGGCATTCCATGTGCACAGGGATCTGTCTGGCCCCGGGACAGGAAAGTGTCCCAGGACCTGTGTGCAAGCCCCATGCAGGTGTCACTCATTTGCTATCCCTGAAACTTCTGCTCTGTGTACAGGCTGCTGGGGGTACATGGACATGGTGTACAGGAAATGCTACAGAAAGGACTGGGGCTTCAGAGCCCTGTGTAGTCATCAGATGCTTTCTCCAATTTCCAAAGGAAAAAAGGAGTCAGCAGAAGATCTGTGTCTTTTTGCAGTCAGTGGCAGATATGAGCAGGGCACAGGGTTTGCGAGCATCCTGCCATGTTAACCCTGCACCACTCAGCTCACTGCTCCTCTTGGATGTGAGTCCCATCAGCAGGGCTGTGTGGGCTTGCTGCTGTGCAATGTCTTCTCATATTCCCAGCAGCGGCAACTGGGTTTCTAGGTAAAGGCTGAGCTTTTGCTGTATTTCCTTCAGGGCTCGAACTGGACCTCCATGAGCATCTCCACGGGCAGCACTTGGCCAAAGAAATTGTCATACGGGCAGTGCGAGGGTTCCTGCAGAGCCCACAGCCTCAGAAGGCTCTGGTCCTCTCCTTCCATGGCTGGTCTGGCACAGGCAAGAACTTTGTGGCCCGCATGGTGGCTGCTCACCTGTACAGGGACGGGCTGAAGAGTGAATGTGTCAGGGTGTTCATTGCGCTCTTCCACTTCCCCCACCACAAGTACGTGGACTCCTACAAGGTGAGAGCTGGTGGTGTCTTGGTGTACTGGGTCTAGCTGGAATGGAGTTGCTTTTTTCTTTTTTTTTCGTACCAGCTGCACTGTGTTGTGCTTTAGGTCTGTGGGTGAAGCAGAGCTAGTAACACTGCTGTTCTATCAGTGCTATTACTGATCTGAGTGTGGGCAGTGCTTCAAGGTTTTCTGTTTTTCCAGCTCTGCCCCTCAGCTAGTAGGTTGGGGGTGCACAAGAAACTGGGAAAGGGTACAAAAGGGACAGCTCACCAAAGGGATGTCCGTATACCATTATGCTCAGCAGCAAAAGCTGAGGGGAGGGAGTCTGGGGTAGGCCCAGTCTCTATGCTGTCTCCTGTTGTTGGCACCTCACTCCTGCCCGCTGTTCTGCAGGTTCAGCTGGAGAAGCAGATAAGTGAGACTGTGCAGCTCTGCAAGCAGTCACTGTTCATCTTTGATGAGGCAGAGAAGCTTCATTTTGGCCTCCTGGAAGTCATCAAGCCCTTCATGGCTCGCTCTGACAAGGGCCAGCAAGATAACCGGAGATCTATCTTCCTCTTCCTCAGGTAACTTCCAAAGAGGTGGGGAGGCACAAAGCTCCTGAAAGTGTGATATAAGGGACTTGGAATGCAGAGGTGGGGGAAGAGATGCCCAGCTCTTCCAAGGGTGGTTGCCTCCATGACCAGCTTTCCTTGTTGCTGCTGAGGAGCTGTGGCCTAGCTGAGCTGGTGCCTCGGCACCAGTGAGGTTCAGAGATAGTGTGGTGTCATCCTGCACCTTGTATGACCGAGCAGGGAGATCCTGCACTGCAGGGAGCACGGCCAGGACTGCAGGTCCTTACGGGATGTGCCTGTGCCATGTGGAGAGGTCCCACTTGCCTGGCCTGGTACGTGGGGAAACTGTATTCAGTTCCCCCCTCTATCTGAAAGGGAAGTTGTACCTCCACCTCATGCCATCCAGACAAGTGTGCTGACCTGCAAGCTCAGCGGTTCCCTAGGGAAGCTTCTCTGCTCGTAGAAGACCTGACTCTGGACCTGGTGCTACAGGGCTGACCTGATGTGTCCTGTCCACTCTGGGCAGAGTAGGCGTGCTGCCAGTTGTGCGGTGGTGCCTTGGTCCACCTACCTGGCATGCTGCACAGCCCTATGCCCACGTCAGCCCCTTTGTGTCATCAAGCAGAGAGAGCAGGGCGTCATGAACTGCAACGGTGTGCAATCAGTCCTGGGGGGGTTTCATCATGTCTGGTGGCAGTGTGACACAGATCTGTTGTTGAAGGGCTGGCTCTGGCCCAGCCTTGTCTGGAGGTGGCCTGGATTTGCAGCTGTGTCTGGGCTTGAGCAAATGGCCACTGCTCAGCCAAAGGGATTAGGATGGGTATGAGCTGTGCTGGCAAGGTGGCAAAGGGAGGTGGTGATGGCTTCTTCATTTTACCTTCCCACTATCTGTGGAATGTGTCTGTAGTTTCTGACACACAAGGAAAGATAGGTATGAGACCCAAGTACCTCACATAGAATTACAAAATCATTAGAGTTGGAAGGGACCTTTAAAGGTCATCTGGCCCAACTCCCTTGCAGTGAACAGATATGCCTACAGGTCAGTCAGGTGCTCAGAGCCTCATCCATCCTGACCTTGGGTGTCTCCAAGGACAAGGCTTCCTCCCCATCTCTGGGCAACCACAGCTGGTTCCCAGCATCACCAGCTCCCTGGTGGGAGGGCGCTGAGACCAGGGGCTGCCTTCTGAGGTGTGGGGGCTGTCCTGGGAGCCTTGGTGGCTGCCTGGACCCTGCATCCCCCACCAGGCAAGGTCCCTGTCCTGGCCATTTTCTTCTCATGAAACTCCTGCCATGTTCTCTGTCCTCTGGCCTGGACTTGGCAGTGGCTTACTGAGGGTTTGCTGTGGAGCCAAGTGTCACCTGAGGGGTCAGTGGCTTCCCAGACAGGGCAGGGTACTGACAGAAGCAGAGTTTCCATTGGCTCCTGGCCCCATGTGGAAGAGCAAGCAGCTGCCCCAGGCCTGGGTTGGCAAGATGGAAGATGCTGTACAGATTCCTTCAGAACACCATTCATCTGGGTGAATGTTTCAGGTGCTGACTGGGCACAGTGGTTGCTTTGTTGTAAGCAGAACTGCTGAGCTCTGCCTATAGAGGAGGCTGCTGGCAGCTCTGAGCAGTTTGAGCCTGGCAGCATGGTGGAGTGACTTCTCTTCTGTCTGCAGCAATATTGGTGGCAGTGCCATCAATGAGGTCACCCTGGACTTCTGGAGAGCTGGACGGGCACGAGAGGAGATTCCTGTGGAGCTCCTGGAGCAACAGCTGCAGCTGGAGATGCTGCAGCTTGCAGGTAGGAGCCGGGCCGCTGTAGCAGGCAGCCTTCCCAGTCGCAAACCTGCCCCTGAGCACCAGGCTGGGGCTTTTTTATGAGCTTTGTGCTGCAGGAACATCTGGAAGAGTGTTGATGTACCCTTCCCTTCTTCCACATAGCTCAGCCTAGTGAGCATGGCAGCAAGGCACATCGGAAGAGGAGCTGAGCCAGTCTTGCTCCCTTTCAGCCCCAGAACTGCCAGCTCTCGGGTGGCTGAAGTTTGCTTTGTCTTGCTTTTTGCTGCAGAAAACGGTTATGCCCGCAGCCATCTCCTTGAAGAGAACCTGGTTGATTTCTTTGTGCCATTCCTACCTCTGGAGTACCACCACGTGAAGCTCTGCGCACGGGATGCGTTCCTGGCCCGTGGACTTCCCTACACAGAGGCAGCCCTTGATGAGGTTGCCAGGATGATGGTGTTTGTCCCCAAGGAGGAGAAGCTTTTCTCTGCACAAGGCTGTAAATCTGTATCACAGCGCATTAATTACTTCCTTCCTTGAACACCAGGTGGGACTACATCCCTGGTGAAGCTGATTCCGTACACCAGGAGCTGCTCTTCTTGCACAAGGTCAGGCAAGCAGATCACCCCTGCACAGGGGCAGGAACTGAACTCCATATTTCTCTGAGGGCTGCTCACAGGGAAGGAAGTGCAGCTGGGGTGCCAGCAGGCTGAGCTCGGCTGGGTTTTTAAGTCCACGTGGTGTTTCTCACTCCCTCCTCCTACCCTGAAGCAGTGGTTCGGTTGTGCTGATAGATGCTTAGTCTCATGTGAGTGGGATATTGCCAGTTTGTTGCCAGTAAGCAAAGGCCCAGGCCAGACTGATCCAGCACAAGCCACGGCCTCATCCCTGTCCACAGCTTCCTCAGTCACATACAGAAAATGACTGCTTCATCTCCACTGGAGATTTTAAACCTACAGCCTTTTCCTTTGGAGTGACCTTCTCTCCCCTCTCTTGGTCTTTGTTCCATGGAAGCAGCTGTGGGATGAGGTGAGCTCCTGCTGGAATCATTTCCCTGAGCCGTTTGGTGAAGAGCATGTTTGCTGCATTGCAGGAACTGGTTTGGGGAGAGACAGACACGGGCAAAGGGCAGATGAGGAGGACAGAGGGTGAAAGAACAGGTTGCAGTTGAATTTTGGTTTTCAGAGCTGGAATAAGATAGTTTCCCCCCCCCCAGTATGTTGCATGCTGTGGGGTTTTGGCTGGTATCAGCATTACTACACCAAGGGGCTGTTTGCTGTCTGGGTACTTGCCAGGTGATAAGAATGGACCAAAATATTTCAACAGTGATAGAAGAATCACTTTGTGACCTCGAGGTCAAAACTCCCTTCCAACACAGCTGCTGCACGGTGAGGTGAATCAGCAGCTGCCAAGGACGGCTCAGCTACCTCATGAGCGGACCTTTGATCTATTTTAAGCTTGGAACCTCTCAGCAGTGCCAGTGATGAGCAGCACAACTCCAGGGACAGGCTGAGCACTGCTCTGCAGCCTCTGAGGTCGCCGATCTAATGAGGCTGTGTGGTCTAAGGCAGGGAGCAGTGAGCCAGGGAGCTGCTCGTCTTCCTTCTCTCTGTACCAAGTTAGCTTCAGCCTGGCTGCTGACTTGAGGCTGGACCTAAGTGCTAGGTCTACTTTTATCAGGCATTGCTCAGAGTTGGTTGATGGGTGGTCATTTCATCACACACATCAGTCCTGGGAACAGCAGAGGTGCCTGAGGGAAAGCAGCTCTTCAGTGAGGATGCAGCCCTGCAGAACAGCACAGTTCAGGCTCTGCTTTACAACCAGCTGATCTGCTTGGTCACTTGTGTAAGCCAGCGTGAGGTCAGCAAAGTTTTGGTTTTTTGAGTTAACTGGCTTTGAGTACAGTACAGTGCAGGTTAAAACATGCTTTAGATAAATAAAGCAATGTCTAGGCAAGGTTTTTTTTTTTTTTTTTTTTTTTGCCAATAAAATATTGCAACCTTTATTTAAAACAAAATGCAAATTGGCAAAACTTTGTGGAACGACAGGCAAAGAGGCCCTTCTGAGGGCCTTATTTACATCAAGTTTAACACTGTTCGCAGTTCACAGTCAGACGATAGTGAGAGAATTAAATTAGAAAAACAACCAAAATATATTACAATAACAATTAAAAACAAAACAGTTGACAACACTGTAGAGTGATTGGTGATTAATGTGTTTGATTTTAATCCATTCCTGCCCTCTGTGAGTTCAGTACTGATGCCCACAGCATGCCATGCTGAGCGGGCTCTACACCCTCGTGCACAGCAGCCGTGCTGGGAAGATGACCTCCTTTGGTACAGGTATATCTCACTCTGCAGGTACTGCAGATACGTCCCAGAAGCTGTCACTTCCTCCCACCAGGGAACAGGCTGAGGGTTTGTTCTAAGCTCCGGGCCTGAGAGTACCCCAGGGCCCACGGGCCACTTACACCAGCTGCTCCTTGCTGACACTGGGCCAGTGGTGCTCAGGAGAAGCCTCTTCTGTGAGGATAAGGAACAGAGAGAACAGCCCCGTGTTCTGCATCAGGAGTGCTGCTCTGTTTAGCTCTGCTCTCCCAGCTGTTTGATGCAGTCCTAAAACCAAAGCTTTTAATTCAGTCCTGCCAGCACTGGTGAGAAGAACAGCCAGCCAGTAGTGTGCTGCCAACCCAGCCAGCCAAGTGCACTGCGCCCAGGGTTAAGAAGGGCATACAGTGCAGAAAGCTGCACCTGCGGGTCGGCTGCTCCCCTGGGAGCTAGGGAGAGAAATTCCCCCCACTGCCTTGCTCTGGGCTCTGAGCTTGCCATCACCAGGTCCCTACGGTTTGCCACCCCTGCTGCAAAGATGACTGCCTTCAATTCTAGGCCATAGTAGTGCAAGTTGGAGAGCCCAGCTGCATTTGCATCTTTACCACACGAGGCCTTCTCACAGCAGTGAAGAAAGGAAACACAAGAGGAGGTTGTCTTATCCACAAAGGCTGGAGCAAGAGATGCTCTTCACTGGAAGAAGTAACGGGGCTTTGCCATCCGTACAGTACTTGACACAGACTGTGTGCAAAGCTGAAAGCAGAGAAGCTGCTACGGTTGAGACCTTTAAGGCTGAACAGAAAGGCAAATCTAGCAGAGGGAAAGGACCTGTAATAGTGGTGGGAGAGAAGCTGCCTCAACCGTTTGTGATCCTGGGAGAGCAGGTGAATTCTGCTTCTTCTAACTGCCCACAGCTGTGTCCCTGCCAGCTACCTCTGGGGGGGAGGAAAAACAGGCGGCACTCAAAGAAAGCAGACATGGGCAGGGTAGCCAGCCCTTTGCAGGGGCACAGTTTGTTTCTTAAGCAGGGTATGAAAGAGTGGAAAGGGGTGTGTTCTATTAATTAAAAATTCCAGGAATTGTTTGCTATTCTATCACTTTTGCAGGAGCTTTTCTGGAAGACCTACATTCAGGAAAAAATAAATTTTAAAAAGCTTCTTTTAAAATACTCAGCAGAACTGGAATAACACTTTTAAAACGTTCTGGTTAAAATACCTTTCCCCTGAGAATAACCACTTCAGTTCCAGTCGGCTTTTACTGGGCTGAAAAGCAGTACAGTGATGAAACCACACGATTGTCTGCAGGGCAAACAGGACCAGCCTTTCTGACACCAAGAAAGCTCTCATACCCTTGCACTCCTCCTGATTGTTAAGAAGGCAACGTGAAGCAACGCCTTAAGATTTTTTCCCTTTACGGGTCAGCTTTCCAAAGGCAGCTAATTTGGTGTGCAGTGATGCACATGTTCAATAAAGATGACTGAAGCAGATAAGGTAAACCACAAAAGCCCTCAGTAAAGTCTACAAGATAACTGTTAGGTGCTCTGCCTTCCTGCTGAATAACTGCCCCAGGGACCTGCAGCTGAAGTGCAAGACCCAGAGTAGATCCTGGACAAGCTGGAAATCTCACAGAATGAGACAGCAGGCTCTTCCAGGTGGGCTTGGTGCCACGAGGTAAGGATGACTAACCCACAAAGGGATCAGCTTGCCGACTTGTAGGAACGATTCATTCACCTTAACACCTACTGAATGGGGTGGAAGGACTGTTTGGTTTTTTTCATTATCTCACCCACTTTGACAGTGAAGCACACGTGGTCCATTTCACCTCGCATACTGCTCCACTGGTGCACATTCATGCAGCGTGACACACAACTTTATCTACCACAGACTAGTCAATAATATGAGGATTCTCAGACACGGGCACATTACTAAGAATGGTTCAGGCCACACCTCACCTTGCTCCATGGAAACAACAGTGGCATGAGCCAAGAGGTCCAGCCTGCTTCTGAGCACCAACAGGGCAATGCTTGGAGGCAGACAAGGAATGCCTGAGTGCCGACCATCTGAATTCACACCTGTGCTCCAGCTCAACTCTAAATGCTCAACCTAAAAGCAGCACAGTCACGCTTTAAAAACAAGTTATAAAAGCATTTTAGAAAAAAAAAAAAAAAAAAAAAAAAAAAAAAAGATTTAAGGTGCAAAGCAAGCCAGATCCTGTGTCATCACAAACAGTGTGAAGTGAGCAGCAGCATGCAGGGTAACGGGTATTTGGATGCAGGTATCAGGCCTGTTTGCTTCTTCTCTCTAACCAGCAAGTAGTTGAGGTCTCTGTACTTGCCAGTCCTTTAACTCTCAGGGAGCTGTGCACATGCACAGAACACCAGCTTTTTGAGGCCATAACAGTCAACCAACAGCACCAGGATGGAAGGAGACCAGCCACATGACTGCCTGCCTTCTGGGATTGTCAGTAGACCAGCAGAGACCATACCATAGTGGGAGCTCTCCAAGAAGCCCTAACGCTTCTGTCACGTTTCAGGCAGAATGCAGTTTACACAGCAGAAGATTCTGGTCCAGTTGTCAAAATACATAAACTAAAAAAAGAGGGCTGTGACTCGTGTTGACATACATAGTCACCTTCACGCTCCCAGATAGTGGAAGCCTGCAAGATTGGTAAGCAACAAATCCCAGAAAGCGCTGTGATGTGGTTGTGCTGTGTCAGGAGGAGGGAGCGGTGCGGGGAGACCTGCAGGCAGGCCAAGCTGTTCTCCTGGCTCCAGCACTGCCTGCTGATTGCAGCCAGGGGCTGCTGGTGGCAGAGGTTCTGCCTTGCCTCCCCTGGGCCTCAAGGTGCTGAAACTGAACTGGGGAGTCAACCTGGTAACAGGAGTTAAAAACAACCTAGAGCTTTGAAAAAAAACAAAAAACACCCCACCCCGTCCCATTAACACTGGCAAGTTCTGTAAGAGCCCCAAACTACTCACAACAACCAACGACCATCAAGCAGCACTCATGCTAGACCACTAGAAATAGGAATCAACTGTGTGAAGGCAGTATGGTGGGAAGGGGGTAATTCCAGTGGTAAGTCTGCCCAGCATTCCTGATGCCTCAGCTACAATGAAGACGAGAACATGTGGAAGATGAGGTGGACAGGAGGGAAAAGGGATAATTTCATATATTAACTAACTTTGCAGTTCTCATTACAGCAGCAACAGCACTGTGGAAGTAAGCCACTGAGGCTAGTGCATCCACCTCCAGCAGCTCTGAATACTGTCAGTGCATTAGACCTGCCCCCAGCTGCACACAGCCTGCTCCTTCAGAGCTGCCCAGCCAGGACTGCTCAGCAGCTGGTACCAGCAGAGCCCCGGGGCCCTTCCTCGCCTTGTCAGGAGCCCAAAAGCGTGTGTTAGTGCTGATGGGGTGCATCTGTACAGCCAAGGGGCCGGCAGCCACTCCAGTACTCTGGCTGCCAGACCGTCCTTCCCAGAGCGAGAACCTGCCATCGATTCTCCTGTCTGTCAAAGGGAGGAGCAAGGATCTTCCTTGCCTTGCCAAACTGAGCAGATCAGACCGGCAAGGTAGGGACAAATACTTGATGTTCTGCCCCTTACAGCTTGAATCTACCCTCTCCATCCCCATTTTCTGAGATGAACTTGTAAACGTGAGAACTCAGTGATCTGAGGTACTTCACATACTCAAGTATCAGTCTTTCCTTTTGAAAGCATCAGTACAGAAAAGAGTCCCCCCCACCCCACGTGTATTTCTCTTACCCAGATTGACAGTAGCTACCTTTGCACCACATCGCTGATTTCTTGGACGCACGACAATAAGTTATTAAGGACGGGGTTTGCCCCAGGGATGCTAGCAGCTGTTGAGGACACCTGCAGTTCCTGCAGGCTGAGTTCCAGTTTGCTCACGGCTTCCCGGAAGGCAAATTTGTTGCGTGTATGCGGAATGCAGTCCACGTAGCCTGAGCAGTAATCCAACAGCTGATGCCCTGTGTCCACCAGCTGGCTGTTTGGTGTTGGCTCAGCGATGGCACTCGAGAGAAGATCGGCGCACTCCAGCAATGCTTCCTTGCTGATTTTATCTGCTGGGATTTTCTCAGTTGCCTGTTTGGTCTTTCTTAACGCTATCTTTGCGCCAGCTGTGCCATTGGCCATTTTCACTGGGGAGGTGGAAGACGACGACAGAGGCACTTGAGGTGGAGGCACCATGGGCCTCCCGGATTTCCCACCGACAGGTGCTGCTGCTGCCTTCTTACTCCCTTCCCCTGACTCCAGCCCGTGCTGCGCTCCCGCCGCGTTGCTGAGCTCTTCTGCTGCATCCGAGCAGGCGGCTGGCTGCTGTAGGAGCCTCATCACTGGTGGTGGAGGTGGAGCACACTTTGGTTTTACCCGTCTGGGCCGGTCCCTGTCGCCGGAAGAAGTGACCTGATGCTCAGATAAGAGCTTAAATTTATTACCCTGAGAGTCTGTGCCAATGAGCTGCACATCTGCTGGAGTGTGTTTTAGAGTGGGTGAGATTAGGACTGGCACTTTGTGGTTGTGAGTGGTTGGAAGTATTGCTGCAGCCTTTACTGGAGAGGACCACCCTGGTCTCTCGCCATCCTCGAGGGCCCCTTGCCGAGGGCCGCTGTTCTTTTCTTTGCTTTTAAGAGTTGCTGCTAGCCCTGGCATCTCCTTTTCCTCTGAACTCGATGGGGTTCGGAAAGGGAGAGCTGTGGCACCCCTTGGCAAGAGTTTTGCTTTTGGTCTTTCTCTGGTCAAAGCAGAACCTTCTTCAAACCTTTTGGGCAGCAGGTCATTTGCCCTCCCTGTGTTCTCATCAGGCTGAGAGGAGGTGGACACTGTCCGTTCCAGCTGGATTTTTGACCTCTGGGAATTCCTGGGAAGGGTCATTGCCATTCTATCCTGCTCTGGAAGCCCTGAGGACATGGAAGATGTAGAGTTCGACCTCGGAAAAGGCTTTGATGCTTCTTCATTGCCAGCGGGCTTTCCTGGTCGTAGACCCAGCGTCTTTTTAATCAGGCGCGGTGTAAAGAAACCTGTGATGCCAGACCACCCCCCACCAGTGCTCACACCCCCACCGCTGCTGGTACCAGTGCCATCATCATTGTAGAAGGTCCTCTGCACAAAGCCCCCACCGTAGCACTTGGGTGGTGCCAGGTTTGCGTCCTGCTGTGTGGGAGCAAAAGCGAACCCATCCACGTGCTGCAAGGAAGCAACAGATGAGAAGTTACCCGTTAACTCGTATTTCTTGTGGGGCTGATTCTCCATCTCCCGGAAGGAGCTACTGCGCTTGGGAGGTGTGGGAGCATTCCTCTTCTTCATGAAGGAGCTGAAGAAGCCGCCTTTTCTGTCCCTGGTGAAAGTGGTCTCTTTGGCATCCTCCAGCAGGCTGCTGGGTGACTTGTCCCTCTGCTTGTGAGGCAGTGCGGGAGACCCACTTGTTGGCTGTGTGCTTCTGATTAAACCTAGGAAGAAACAAGAATGAATCTACAAAATCTATTTCAATTTCCACCTCCCTATCCTCCAGAGGGCTGTAAGGGCCCAACATTTCAGTTACACAGGATCTGCAGAGAAAGACTGAGAAAGGAAGGTGGCACTTCTATTTTTGAGCTTTTGATTTAAAAACATTGTGCGTGTGTGACCTGTCGGTTGTCTCGGGAGGCAATTTAGGAGAAGGTCAGGAGAAAGTGAAGCTGCTCTTTTCTCTCAGTTTCTTACCCCCTTGCTGTAGTTCTTTTCTCCCTCCCCAGATACTGCAAAGTATAAAAGAAAATCTCTTGCTGTATTGTCAATTTCTGTTTGAAAGCTGTTATCTTAAAAATTTAGTTAAATTTAAAATTAAAAAAATGTTATGAAATTTACTAAAAGGACATTGTAAAAGCTGCAGTGTTTACTAGTTACTAGCAAATAGGCTGGCAAACAGCCCTCATGACACTGCTGCTCAAAGCACCAGCCTAGAACACTTTGGCTGGATGAGAGTTAACTTGAGTTCCAGCTTATGTAAGGCTGAAGAAAGCTGGAGCCCCACATACATATTTGCCACAGAACTGCTTCATGTCCCAACATTTGGGTTCTTTGTTCTGCAAACCAAGAGCAGAATGGAGAAGTCTGCTTGACCCAAAGGAATTGTGCCTGCAGACATCATCTCAGTTGTCAGGAGTAGTTCCTCTGCCTTCTCAGGAATGAGAAGTGACACCTGTACTGAAGAACAAGAGTCATCTCATCCCTCAGCTCCCTCAGGGAGCAAATCTGCCACCATTCCGATCTCTCCACCTCACTAATGCAGGAAGAGTATCCACAGCCCTGCCTCTCCTGCCACAGTAACAACGTAAGTCCTGCAGACAGGCTACAAACTGAAAGAAGCCAACACCGTTAATCGTATCTTGTCTAGAATGTGAACTTTTACAGACCGTCCTGGCAGGATACTTGGTTGAAAGATCTCCACTTGGTGGATGTTCTGTTCTCTTCTGCTTGTCTGACAATTTACACTGGGAGCAGATCTACACCAGAACACACAGCCTCAGTATGAGTGCCCAGGAGCTCATACCTGGTGCGGAGCTGGATGCTGAATGCTCCAGGGTATCCTGTGTTCCTTCAATGTTCTCCTTGTTCTCTGCCTGTTTCTTCAGTGTTCTTGTCTTGGAGGGAAGCATGGGCAACCGGGGCAGGTAAGGAACAATGGATGAGGAGGAGGCTGTTCTTCCAAGCTCCTCTGCTACCTCTGTAAGGAGGAACAGGAAGTGGAATAGTTGGAACAAATCCAGAAGAAGAAGAAAATAAAACATGGATCTCTACTGCAATCCCAGACCAGCAAGAAGACGCGACTGAGAACGCAAGAAGTTTGTAACTTTAGCTTTTTGTAAATTCAGAGGTGCTTAGGGTAAAACACGTTTTACAAATGGAAGTCAAACTAACTTGCATCTTTGTAAATCCATCCAAAAATGGTGGTAGGATCTGCACAAGTGAGGCTCTGGTACATATCTAGCTCTTTGCTGGGTTAAGGTTGCTCAAGTGCTAAAGTTTGCAATGAATGCATTTTCTTCCCTTCTAAATAAGGTGCCTCTTGTTAATTGCCTCAAAGTCGCATCCTTTCTGACTCTGGACATAAGCTGCTTTGAGGCAAAACACTGCACATCTCTATTAGAAATGAAGATTTCATGTTTCCTCCTCAATATCAACACAAGGTATATGATTTAAAAGCATTAACCAAAAAACCCCTCCTGTACAGCCCCAGGTTATTGTTTGTTTGTCCCTTGATGTGCCTGTTACAGATCCTCCCTGCTAGAATTTCATCTGGTGTGATTTTTCTATAGCAGGGAAGTGCGTGGATTTTCATACTTGATTTCAGAATTAGAGATGCTGAAAGAATTTGTGCTCCTTTGCCTCATATCACACCTCTCCTAGCTGACCAGATTTGAAAGTTGAGTTGCATAGATTTTCTCCTAAAAAAATAGCTAAGTAGAAAATCCAGATATTGAGGCAGACTTTTTAAGTAAAAGCTGACAGAGTGGTATTTCACTACATTAATTTCTGCAATCAGAAACAGAATGTGGCATGTGTGCATCTTTCTCTCTCCCCTCGCATCACTCGCTATTCCTATCTCCTCTAGTCTGGGAGGATTCCTCTCGTAAAAGAGACAATATTCTCTAGGCAAACTCCTTGTTATCTTGGTATTCAAGTTAATTACTGTGCTGTCTCTGCACTGACACATCTAAAGTTTATTAAGTATTTGTGCTAGGAGTAAGACATGTATTTACAGACATAAGGATAAGAAGTAAAGGACGAAGCCTCATCACAGCCTCCACAGCAAGCAGATAAGCTTTAAGAGCCCGTGCTTAAGAGACAGCACTCTGGGGGATAAACACTACCACTGCTCAGAAACAAAACAACAGGTGCTCTCACCCTCCGAGATGCTCGAGTCGTGGAACATGGTTTCAAAAGCCTGGTGGGTCTCAGCAAAGGAAGGTCGGTCTGGTGGGTTCCACTTCCAACCTGCAGTGTGAGAAAGCAGGGTAAGTCTGTAACAGGTGGGAGATAATTTGTTATTCTGTCTTTCATTAGTAGATTAAAAATTTGTTATGCAGTGTTAGAGAGCTCTTTGTGGCAGATGCTAAGCAGCACACTTGGAGGATGAGTTTGTGCGACCCTGTCAGCAGCTTGTCTCCTGCAGAGGTGCTGTGTTTGCTAAGTAGAATTTCCTTCTTTTTTGGTGATTCCATATTAAGAGTCCTGCTTACAAGTGACAGTACAATTTGCCACAAAAGCTACCTAGCTGTAATCAGCAATGACAGTTTTTGAGAGTTCTTGTTCCCTGGAGACCAGACTCACTTTGCATCACTGACCAGGTATGTCTCAGGTGACAGGGACTTTTCCACATAAGCTAACAAAATGGCATCTAAGAAGTAAGGACTTAGGAGCTGACTACAGATTTCTCCTACCCCTGCCAGGCTTTGTTCCCCAAACTGGAAGAAGATACTCACAGGCCCTCATCAGTTCATAAACCTTTGGAGGGCATCCCTCCGGTTGTTCCATCCGGTAGCCCTTTTCCAGCAGATCATACACCTGAGAGAGATCAATGCCTGGGTACGGTGACATCCCATAGGTAGCAATTTCCCATAACAGCACCCCAAAGGCTGCAGAAGGAAGAAAATAAAACTCCTGGTCACAAGACTGCCCGTATGGTATGCTCTTACATTTTGGCCTTGGCTGCAGCTAGAGGCAGAACCTCTTTGCTGCAGATTCTTCAGGCCAGCCTAGCTGAAGACATTAACAATATGTGAAGCTGTGACCTGGCATGTTCCTCCCAGGGGTTTTCTGCCCAGGCCAGAACACACTTTACTCTCCAGGGTGGCAAATTAAAAACCAGAATGAAACAGAACGTAACAGTGAAGTGGAGTTTTCTTACCCCACACATCTGATTTGATGGAAAAGGTGTTATAGGCCAGGCTCTCAGGAGCAGTCCACTTGATTGGGAACTTGGCTCCAGCGTGAGCTGTGTAGGTATCTCCAGTCATCAGCCTGCTTAAGCCAAAGTCAGCCACCTTCACCACGTGGTTTTCTCCAACTAAGCAGTTCCGTGCTGCCAGGTCCCTGTATGAAGAAGAAAGCACATAGGGCGTTTAAACACAGTCCTGTCTTTGTGGAATTTGTCCCTTTCTGCTTCTCAATGCCATCTTACCCACCTGTGAATGAAGTTCTTCTTCTCCAGGTACTCCATGGCAGAGGATATCTGAGTGGCCATGTAGAGCAGCACAACAGCACTCACTTCCTCCCGGTTGCACTCCCGTAAATAGTCAAGCAGGTTCCCATATGGCATGTACTCTGTCACGATGTAAAAGGGGGGCTCCAGGGTACACACACCTAGCAGTGAGGAGAAGGCATGTGAATAAAGCTGCTGGTTCTTCCCTAGCTTACCAGTATGCCTGATTTAATTCCCATTTCTTGCAGTCTCTAACAATGAGAGTTTCTCTGAAAATCCAGGCCTTTAGTCTACAAGAGCTGATCAGTGCAGCCCAGCTTAAAGTTCATTGCTTCTATTTACATATCCATCCACGGATGATGAGAAATCTGTCTACCAAAGGTCCCCTTTTCCTATATGTTATGCATAAAGGATGTGTACTATACATATACATACCACACACTGTTATTTGGGAGGGTTACAGAATGGAACAGGACATGTTCTGAACACCCATTATTTACTTTCCTTTCCCTCTTCTCTTAAAGCTGAAAAGTGGCCAACTGGAAGTGGGTACCTTCCAGGCTGGAATGTCACGACAGAGTAATGCAAAGCACTCCTGTGTATGCTAGTGGGTAAGGGATGATCAGAGCAGTGGGACCTGCTCCTAAAGCAGCATTCTCACACATTGCTCAGATTATTCCTTGCTACAGCCATTGCAGTTATGCACAAAGTATGTCAGAGTGGAGGAGGAAGGCAACAGGATACTCATATCAGATCTCTGTGAGCTCTCACTGCAGCGCTGCTGGGTGTGTGCTGATACCATTACCCACATACAGGAGCAAAAATGCATCTCTAATGAGAAACTGTTTTAGTCTGGAAGCAGCCAGGGCTGGGTGACCACTTCATCTGTGTCCATTTTTTAAATGGGTATAAAATAGATGACATTATTAACATCCTTCACATTCCTCACATTTCTCCTTTCATCCTAGGCTTGGCTTGACAGCTTTGCTCCCAAAGACAGCAAAAGTCCAGATGGAGCTAACCACCAGTAAAGCTTTAAAATGTCTCATTAAGAATCTTTGTATATACTTCTGTAAGGCTACTTCAACTGAGTAGAAGAGGAATGTGTCTTCACTGATAACTGAATCCAGGAGAATGGCTAAAATCAATGGCACAGTTTAACAGGAGTTTGATACTGCTAACTTTACACAGTGTCCCAAGAGCAAAGTCATGTCACTAATGTGACAATATTTGATGTTTCATTTAGAACTGGCGTTTCAGCTCAGCTTTGCCATATGAAGGAGAAAGCAGTCAAAAATACCGCCCCATAACCTGACCCGATTCAAAAAATCATGTCAATAAATCTGCCACTCTTTTTCAACAAGATGGATACATTTTGGCAGAAACCTGAATAAGAACAGAAAGATCAAGGTATTTCACTAACCTAATAACTGCACTAGATTTGGGTGCTTGATTTCCTTCATCACAGCAGCTTCTTTCAAGAACTCTTCCACCTCCATGGTATCTTCCTAGACAAACACAGAAGAGAAGATTTATCTTCATGACCAAGGTCTGCTCAACGCTACACACTCTAGCTGAATGGTATCCTTATCTCCATTCTGATGTTTTGGCTTTTACTAAAGCAAAAATGTCATAACAGCCCTGAAAAGCTGGCCTGCAGCACAGCCAAATAACAGATGTGCAGCCCCTGGAAAGCACTAGGTTCTACCAACTAGGTATCTACTGTGGCTGGAGAAAAGATGACTCTGAAAGTCACTTCGTTCTGCCTAGCTGTAAAAATTAAACTTGAAATCTTCCTTCTTTAGGTGGGGGGGGTACCTGAAATGTTAACAGCAGTCACGTTGAAACAAACAGAAGGCTCTGAGAGAAATACAAATGGAGGAGCTACATTTTTCCAGAAAGATGGGAGAAGTTGTAGGAACGCACTTCCAACACCTTTGATTTCTTACAGCTTCCACAGCTTTTCTGAGGGAAGTAGAAGTGGTAACCGTGCCTCCAGGCCTGCCTGGGACACGCAGTTCCTGCAGGAGCCCATTGGGCCAAAATTCCAAGCTGTTTCTAAGCTCCCTGCACTGCTGCAATCTCAACAAGCTATCTTTGTTCTGCAAAGCTACTCTCAAAGCATGGATTTTATACAGATCAGCACGCTCCGTTTTCAGAAAGTCCTATCAGTGGGTGGTATAACTGAAGAAGTTACAATTTCCTTCTACTTATCGTCAACGCTGACCAAATTAACAGTGTGCAACAATCTGATAACTCACCTTTAATGTTTTCACAGCCACAGTGAGGTTGTATTTCTTCCAGACACCAACATACACCTCGCCGTACTGCCCTCCCCCGAGTTTGTGCTTCATGGTGATGTCAGTCCGCTCCATCTCCCACTTGTCGTGGATGGGGGACACTCCATACACAGTGGGCTTATTGCACTTGGGTGCTGGGTAATGCAGAGTCGTCACCAATCCATCTGCTACCGTGGAGTGATGGTGCACTAGTTCTGCTAGCGTGCTGAAACGGCTTTCTGCTGTCACGTACACCTGTCAGGAACGAATCAGGAATCTGCTTAGGTAAAGGCTGCTGAGAGCTTTCAGTTGTGCTGGAAAATGGACACAGTAAAAACATTCCGGCAGATTTGGAAGAGAAAACAAAAACGGCAACAGAAGCAGATGTTAAGAGCACTTGTTCTCAGTTGGGTTGAGCAAATGAATGTTCCTCTGCGCGATTTTCACCTGCAGAAGGCAGCTAGATTTCCTTTCCCCACAGCGCCGTGCAGAAATCCTTACCTTTCCATCGGAGGTGGTGTTGATCCTGTAGTGGTAAACACGGCCCTCGTACCTGAGCGAGATGGACAGCTGCCCTGGGCTGCTCTCGCTCTCACGAACCAGGAAGCTGCCATTGATGAGGCTGCTCAACAGATACTCTGCTGCGCTGCGTGACACCGGCCCGTGATACCACGAGTGCTTCTCCAGGCTGTTCACTGGTGTGATGTAGTTGCTTGGTACCCAGCCCTGCCCATTCTTCGAACGTACCTCACTCCATTCACCATTCTGGTTGTAACCCAGGACTCGCAACTTCTCACCTACGAGCCAGGGGGGAAAAAAGCAAAGTAAGCACAATATGATCTACTGGGTCTCATTAAGAGACATTCCCCACCAGCTGACTAACCCTTGTTTGTTGGTGTACGCAAAGTATTTATGAGTAAAGTTTCAGCCAAATTTACTGCAATGTAAACAATAAGTTCACAGAGCTTCTTGCAGTCCACATTTTAGATCAGATAAGTGTTTTCCTTTTTTCTTGGAAGAACGAGGTTTGTCTCCATCCTGAAGCCTGATGTGGCATTTGTTTTTTTAACAATTGTGCAGAAGGGCATATTCTGATATACTTCCTAAACAGAAATTCTTCTGTGACATTCTTAATTCTTGATTTGGCTGCAGCTGAAAGCTCCTGAATTCTGTATCACCAATAATGTAAAGATTCTCCTCTGCCTCACAGCCAGGGAGCTGGGCAGCCTGGATGTACATGGGTCAGATCCTTGGCCAGTTACTCCAAGGTGTACCAGTACCAGAACTGCCCAGCAGGTGTCTCTCCAACACAAGAGAGAGAGACCATAGGCTTGTAATCCTTGGTTCAAGAATAATTCCTAACTGCGCTCACTCTTTCCAATGGAACAACAGCAGGGCTCTATTTTCTCTTGCTAAGCATACAGCCCGTGGCTGCCCTGCAACTCAGATCCTCACCTTTGGTGATGCTGAGTGTGTTGTCACCGCTTGCTACAAAGTCGTAAAGTGCAACAAAGAGGTTGGGATCGCTCTCAGTGGCTCCCAGCAGGTTCTCCTTGGAGCTCCACCTAATGGCTTCGTTCAGTGCCTGGGGTTCAACGTCGCAACCATAGGGGCGGTGCAGGGCCTCTGAAGGAAGAGCAGAAGAGGAAATTACAGCTGTAAGTAAATCAAAGCCTGGCGCACAGCAGAGCAGAGCTCCCACTGCACAGTATGTGCAAGAAATAAAACGTGCCCCTTTGATGTGAAGTAATGAACTTTTAAAGTCTTTTAATGCTACAATTTCAGTCTGTTTCTGCAGCTGAAGTAAGTAGCTTGGATTTGAAAGCAATGTTAAGAATAGAGGCAAAACAGACTGAATTATGACAAATAATATGCGACAGTAACAGAGTCAGTAGGAATGGTAGTGATTTGTGACACATTTCAAAGTGGTAATAAAGTGGTAAACTGGCAAGGATAGAAAGTAATAAGGATAACACGAGGTATTTAGGAGCAGTGTTCCTGAACACAGGGCAAGTCTGTCTGACTGCTTCAGATGATGCATACTTGCTAGTACAAGGAAATGGGAGGAAGAATCAGTCGTGAAAAGGTTTTTATGGAAAAAGGGTTTTCCAATCCATACTGTGGTTTCCCCAGGAACAAGCAGCTGGCTGCATTTCAGAATAAAGACACAAGAAAGACGCGGCAGTTACACTTGGGGCAAAAATATATGTAAGAATGGAAGTAATGCTTCTGAAGGCACAACGAGGGCTGTTCCTGCCCCACCACGTGTTCCCAATGCCCCTCACTGAATCTACTCATGAAACCACCCCACAAGCAGACCTGGCCTGTTCCTGAGGGTCTGAGAAGTCAGGAGCAGGATGTATTGAAGCAGAATGCTGCAAGAGAATCCACCCCACCAGGCTCCCACACATTCTCGTGAGACTTACATACGTGAGCAAGAGCCAGGCTACATGGCACATGGAGAGAACAAAGAGCTCGAGAGCAACACAGATGGGAGAGTTGGGAAGTCAGAGAGACAGAACAGGAAGAGGCCTATGCCAAGTAACAGGCAAACACGTGTCGAATCTGTGCCACGTGATGGAGCTCAAGCCTGGAAAACTTCAGTGTAGGGGCTTTCCCAGAATCCATGTTCAATTGTTTGTAAGCTTTATTATACATACATGGGAAAGGAAATGACTGAGGTTTGTTAGTTTGTTCCCAAACACACAGCTAAGTGGCTTTTGCCTGCATTTCTGGTAATCACACTGCTCGAATAACTTGCTTCCCAGCCATGACAGAGTGCCACCCTATCGAGGTTCTCCTAGCAAGAGCAGCAGTGACAGAGCCACAGCTACCAAAGCATGGCTTCATTCTCTACAGATGCAGTATTTCTGTATTTTCTTCTTCTCAACTATCACCTGCAATTACCAACATCCCAGACTGTCAGATAAAGAGTAACCACGCTGTGCTGCCAGCACATGGCTGCTGCTTTTTAGGGCCGGGTTTGTGCAGTTATTATGCATCAGGAACAGCTTAAGTGGCAACAGAAAAGAACAGTGGTTCCCAAATCCAGCTCTCTTTATAGAGTACAAATAGATGGTAATTAAATAACACATTCTTTATACTCCAACAATGCCTCATGTTAGAAAGGCAGGAGGGGGTTTGGTGCCTTGAGCAAAGCGGCTCACCGGTGTGCTGCACAGAGAACCTGAGTGATGCTTCCCTGCTGGCTACAAGCAGCAAACACAAAAGCAGGCAGCTTCCAAAAACCACCCCGACTCTTCTGCTCTGAAATACTTTAATGGTGTTTAAATTACTTCTTCCTTTCAATTGTACAGCTGCTGAAACAGCAAAAGCTTTAAACAAAAACACATACGCTTGTTTTATTTCACAACCAACGTATGGCTTAGGATTCCTTTTCAAGCTAACCCAGCTCGCACACAGGCATCCAGTCCCCAATAACCTACGGTGCTCAGTGCAGTGTGGGATCCTTGCCATCCCATGTGCAAGGATAAGAAAGCTGAGCTCAATACAGTAATCACAAAGAGCTCAGTAAGGAAGCTGAGACAGCCAGTCACACCACATGGGATATGCCTCACACTGAACAGCCTGGGAGCTCCGGTCACACCAAGGGCGAGGAAGTGAACTGGGAAGTTCTCTTTGACATTGACTCAAAGCCTAACCATAAATCATATGTGATTGCTTTCATTTCCTATACAATTGAGAACTTACCTCATCATTTATTCTACAAGCAAGGCTTCAGCCACCTCCTTCCTCTCCTTTATTCCCACAGTACACTTTGCTTCCCTCCAGACATGAATGCTTTCCTATTCAGCCACCACCACCAAGAGACATTTTGCCTCCCACCCTGTGCCACAGAGGCTACAATTACAGATCTCTTCAGCTCAAGAGCAGAATGAGAGCCCAACATACACCTCATCTTCAGTAGCAGAACCCATCAGGCACTGACACGGTCTGTGTTCCTGAAGCACTAACGCTTGTACAAACAGAGCATTTTGATAATCCCAAATAAAAGCAGGTAATCTGAGTCCTGCTCCCACATAAGACAAAGAGCTGAGAGGTCCCACACCGTAATCTAAGCCAACAGGGCAGTACAGGAAGAGGAGGGCACACTGCAACCTCCCTAAGCATCCTACCTGTGAAGCTCGACCCCGCAGGCTCAGAGGCATCGTTGCCAAGGCAGCAGAGCAGTTTGTTCTCTTTGCCATAGCTGGGCTGGAACAGCACCGTGCCCACAATCATGCCTGCCACACAGCAAGCAAAAGGCCAACTAACTGCCACGAGAAGTGCTGGGCTGCCACCACGTGCAGACAGTACTGGCAGCCAACGGAAAAGCAAGCGCAGCCTACGGGTGGAGGAGGAACAAGGGAGCTGCGGTTATTTGGTTAGGAAGGGTGGAGCTTCCCAGGGAGCTCTGAACAAACCAGGCATGCGGAGGCTGGACTGCGAGATGAAGCAATTCTGACGTGAGCTGCAGAGCTCTGTGTCGCTAGGAGTCGGGCAGCAAAGTGTTGGGAAGAAAACAAACCATTTCCTTGGAGAAATTCCTTTGTGCAAACTGCCAAACAGATCCTTTGTGAAGGGGACTGCCCACATTGATTCATTTTTCCACTCCACGTCCATGCCAGTGCACAAGTACCATTCACATGAACTGAGCAGAAGTGATGCGAGTCAAAATATTAAACCTAAGAGATGAACGAGCACTTAAAGAGAAAGTGCTGCTGGGCGTTTCCGAGAGAAACAGAAAGCAGAGGCAGCACAGCATGCCCAGTCTGAGCTGCGTAGCTGCTCACCTAGTAAGGTTCAGGGCAGCTCTCTGAAAGGGCACCGTCAAATCGCCTGTCACAAACATGAGACCTGTTTGCGGGAGTCCTCAGCAGCCCCAGTTCTCTAGCAGTCTCTAGGGCTGGTAGCAGAACAGATTTCTTCTAATGCAGAAGAGGAAGGGTTAAAAAACAAGCAATCACGGTGGCAGTCCCACAGCTGGGAGGCTGGTGGGCCTGCAGAGGGGTATAAAAGGCAGCAGGGGAAGGGCAGCAAGTGCTTTGACCTTTTGTAGAAGGCAGAAGGTGTTGCAGCTCACCAGCCAAGAGCAGCATTTCTACAGCTGTGAGCTCTGTGGAGAAGGCGGCAGCTTCGTGTGATGAGGGCGCAGCTCAGACTGAAGGTAAGAAATGAGCAGTTGGGCTTGTTAGAAGCGTTTGTTTTGTAAGGCTGTGGGTGTGAAAAGTCACCACAGAACAGGTGTAGGCTGGATGTAGGCTGTGCAAAGAGTTACTTCTCCCTGTGTGAACTGTATCATGAGTTTTTTCCCTCTCCACCATCACTAATGCAAGTGGAAATTGCAACCAGACAGAATATGTTACAACACCTACATACAGTTGGCTTCCAAAAGTTCCTGTGACAACTGAGAGGTATCCTTTCCTTCTCCTCCAAAACAAACCTCTGTGAATCCTGCTGCATGCTGCCAGCTGGAGGTTGAGATGCTTTTACCTCTGAACCCCCAGGCTAGCTTTTTCCTGTTTGTTCTTCCTCTTGCAGTTTGTCTTCCCTCTCTTGTGTGCTCTGAATGCCCTCAATTATGCTGGTATTTGAAACAGCACGTTTATTAATACACAAAGAATAATAACGTGAGGGAAAGGCAGAGCAAATAATTGCAGCAAATAAGCTTTTCAGGTGGGTCTGAAATGGTGTTAGGAAATGAAGAGCTACATATTAATTCGTTGCTCAATTAATATCAGCTGCAGAAGTTTAACAAGCAAAATGGTTATTAGCCTGCTTGTTACAGTGCGACAGATGTGTAAGTGGTATCTCTGGAACAAGGAAGGATTAGGAGATAATGAATCGGGGTTACAAATGCAGCATGGAAACACAGGCACTGAGCGTGCTGTCTGTAGCCTCTCTGAGCTGTGACGGCCAGCTGTAGGTGAGCTCGGGGCAGTCGGCCAGCGGCCAGCACTGGGGTGGGCAGGACACCAATGTCCCTGCACAGTGGGTAGGTTTGTAAAGGCCTGGCACGTGCACCCAGGCAGAAGGAAACCAGATTTCTTTTTAACTTCAGGATAAGCATCGTTTCTTCCAAACTGATGTTGCTGGATAGTAATTCTACTGTGCAGACCATCACTTTGACATCCACATCCACAGCAAACATCCTTTTCCTATTCCCCTCACACTCAGTGCACAATGTGAGACATGAATTCTGGTACGCTCCACTCGTTTGACCGAAGCAGCAACCTTTCAGGCAGAGCAGCTTTTCCCAGCTCCTTGGGCTATTCCCTGCTGTGCCCTTCAAAGCTGTTTCCTGAGCACGGCTAACCTTCCTCTATCACTTAAATCCTCCCTTCTGAGGTATTGCTTTTAATGTAAGGCAATCTTGCTGACTGCACGACTTTGAAACAAGTAGTATGAGCAGCTTCTAAAACTTGCTACATCTGGAACATATGTGCTGTCAGTGTCTCCCAGTCAAACAAAAGTGCAAATAGCAATGCAGCTCTGAGGGGTTTGGTGCTGCTGGCAGCAGGCCAACGTGACTTTGTAGGAAGGAAGAGAGACCAAGAGCTACAGGACAGTGTCACTGACATAGCATTTAATACCAAGAAGCGCAGTGTGGGTGTTCCGGGTTTCCCTTCTTTGTTTTACAAGAGGACACATGAACACAAGGCCACCAAGATCCCCATGCATCCACATCTTTCGCTTTATTTCCACTTGGGGTTTTCAAACCAAGTATCAATCCACGCTGCTATTTTACCCGGTCTCATTTCATAGCCTTGCTGCCAAGACTAACAGAGTAATGAGGAGTAGGCATTAGTCAGCCTGGACCACAGGAACTGGGCTGTCAAGTACTGAGTGGTTCTGGTATAACTGCCATTTTCCACCGCATCCTCTAAACATACATCACTTCATGTGCTAGGCTTCAGGAGCTTCAACCAGCTTGTTAGTGGGAGGCCTTCCGCATTAACGAAGATGAGGACACAAAACTGATAACACAGCAGCAAGGTTTCCTATTTTGCTGACACGTTTGGAGCAGTATCAAACCCTACAGTAGCCTTGTTTCTGAAACCCAATCTGAGCACTTCCTACTAACCGAAAGTACTCCATCCATCCTTACAAGCAAACCAATGCTGGCCAGGCCGAGTAGCTGCTGTCTAATAACTCAGTAGCACAGAAGCAGGCCTATGAACTCTCTACCCCAGCAACAGACTTGAGGCCTTACCTTGATGGACCACCTAGTCTTCCTGCTGACGTGTGCAGCCATGGAAAAACATCAGCTTAAAAGGACTGGGACAGCTCACATATGGCTCTGGTAAGATACGGGTGACCCAACTAACTGCTGTTCCTAGGTGTTCCTCTCCTGCAAGCAAGCAGGCTCTTAATAATGTGGTTTGTTTGAGCTGAGCACAGATCCATAATTAGTCTCTGGGCCTCCCACAGCTCTGTGAGGTTTAAGTGCCATAAACAACTCACTGCATAATGCCAAGAAATACAGCTCCAAGCCAGGCACAGGGATGGGCAAGAAATAGGTTTCTATTTATGGTCTCAGGCTGGGAGAGACAGAATGTGGGAGGAGGCATCAGAGTCAGTGACAACATTGCATCATGAGGAGTCCTCATCACAAAAACATGTTGCAAGCCAAGCTGGTATGCCTTCTTCCCTCAGGTATCAGAATGCATCTGACACAGGAAAAGGTTAACAACTGATGTCTGGTACTGGGGAGTGAAATACATGGGGAGCCCAAACGCTCTCCACACAGCTCACCTTTTAAGAACAGATTCATTTTAAATGTGGTACAGAGCTGCATGAGATGTTCTGCATTCAGTTAGTGGTGAAAGCGGTGGGGAGTGGCACAGAAGACATGTTTTTGAGCTGGTTTGAGGTGGAAAGTTAAGGGAAGGCAATACCTGGTATTGCTGTATTTTTACTGGTGGAAGGAGAGACTGACAGATCTATCTCAGCGGTGTCCATCAGCACATTTCCTTGCTGTCAGTGACTTACAGCACACCACTGCTCTCAGTATCACCTGCTGCAGAACTTCCCTACTTGCAGCTTCTTCCTGGTAAAGAAACATCACTCTGATACAGAATTTGGAATGAAGTCAAGCTTAAGCACCGAAGTGTTAATCTAAGAATCTCTGACCATTCGTTGCTGAATGCAAGATGCACAGATTTCTTCATAGCTTATCTGCTATGCAGATGTAAGGGACTGAACCTCCTGTGAAGCATCTGGTAGCAGCAATGTTGTAAGAGTTTCAAAGCAGATTAAGTATCAGCCACCTTCCGCAGAAACACTTGATGGATGCTACTCATTACCTCTGAGATTTCCTATCCTCACGGAACTCTGTCAGGAAAATGACTCTGGGACATACACAGCTAACAAATGATGCAGATTTTTATGTACACTTCAAAACGTTTGAGGTGAGGAACTAATCTGAACACAAGTGAGCTGAACCTAACAATGATTAAAAAAAGCACAACAGGTGTTTCTCATCATGGGCATTGAGGGTGGTCAAGGACAACACCATGCACTAATCTGACTTCTCTGAGCACACCTCCATGTGAGGAAGCAAAATCTGTGGAACAAGAAAAACTTTCTTCTATGGGAGAAAGAAGTTGTAATGCAATTAAAAGTGATTTACAACAACAGATTTTGAATGTAAAACTACACCTGTAACCTCTTTACAAAATCCTGAGCATCTTATCAAAACGTCTATTAGCTTAATTACTAAGGACTGGTTCAGCCCCTATGAAGCTACCTAGCTTTGCAATGCCAGTATCCACAAAGAAGCAGACAGACCACCAGCCTTAGGTGCTCTATATTACATACCTCCTTCCATTGAGTACAGAGGTGATGATGGTCCAATTTTTGGTCCTCTGAATCCTGCCTACAGTAGACTACAACTTACTTCCACAAGAGCAGTTTTGGGAAAGGAGTGCTATGGAGGGACACCAGCAAAGATAACTGGGAAACCACTCGTGTAGATCAAAAGACTGCTTAACATTCTTCCTCAGTCGTGGCGAGTTCCAGTAAACTCCACTATAAAGAGTAAGGATTAGGTCACCCAGCCCTACAGGAAAGGTGGGCTGGCCCAACGTTATGACAGCTTACAGCAAGTCATCTGGGTTTAGTACTTTGGGGCAGAAATAGCTTAATGTGAATTACACCTCCATGGAATTTCTGAGGAGTCATTAATTCTGGCCAGATCAAAGCTGAGATATTATCTACTTCCGTGCAAATCAAATGGATTG